TAATGAAAGGGAAGATTTAGTCATTCCCTTTCTTTTACAGGCTGCCTCCATCCTTCCGTTGCTCATTCACAAATCCCTTGGTGCCTCTGTAGGCAGACAACTCGTAGGTGGATCTGAGGTAGAGGCTGCTGCTAGCATTTTCTACTACCTCTGTGAGCAGCAGCACGCAGCAGAGCAAGCTCCCTCTTACAAACAGAGGTCAGCTCTGCCGACAGCAGGGTTTGAATCTCTGCTTATTATAGCAAAGGGAAAGCCAATGGAAACAGGGAAATTCAGTTCTCAGCAGCAGCCAGAGGGGCCAACTTTATATGAATTAGACCTTGCTTCTGGAGAACAAACAGGCTCTCTGGACCCAAGGGTTTAAACCAGCTGCGTGAGTCAGCCTTGGTGTATTTGAACGTGTGAGGAGGAGAGGTTGCCTGCGGCGGTCTCTGCTCTGTACATGCCTGAAGGGCTTGAACGTCTCAGCCCCTGCAGCCCAGCCTGGCCACGATGGAGGCTGGGGACCCTGCAAGGCCACGGTGCACAAAGGCACTCGTGTTCCCCGCCCCAGCACAGCGCCTTGCATGTCGGCTGTGGGCATCAACACCCCAAAGTTTGCATACCTTCTTAGTGACAAAATATAATGCAGGTGCAGATGAAGAACTATCTCAAAATAGCTCACCCCTGTCCCTTGCTCTTGTGCTGTTTGCATTAACTTTCCCACATGGCAGTTCATTTCCCCGCGCACCACAGCACCATTGGCAGCCATACACACCCTCCTTTTTTAAACTGGACTAGAATAAGAAAGCTGAGCGCTTACAGAGGAAGGATTTCTGTGTGGTGCTTCTGAGACTGAAGGTTCTCTTTATGGTTAATGCATCATTCCCCATTACAGTCATTTCCTCTGAAGTAAATGGGATTTTGCTGTTATACTTTACGTTTATTGATATGTATTTCCTAGCTGAATTGATGTTCCCCTGTTGCCTTTTTCTTTCTACCCTGAAATTGCAGAAAGCCAAAAATCCTTCAACAGTCATGAGTTAAGTTCTGTAGTGTGCAGAGCTGTGCGCTCTCCCATTAAGTGGACTGGGGTTAACATGGGCACCATTTACAGATTAATATGTATTCCAGGGCAGCAACACCGGTTCTGCTGTAATGTTTCAGGCTAAGGGGTCAACTGTTTAGTTGGGACGCTTCCTAGCAATATTTTAATACTCTTTAACCAGTGATTGAGTGGAAGAAGACTTTCCTTGTGACTTGACATTGAAGAGTGTCACAGGGAGGCCTTTGAGGTTGAAGAATCAAAAAAATCCGATTCTCTGTGGTGGATAAAATACCTGCAGTGCTTTTGGAAGACACTGCTATTAGGATCTTCTTTCCCCTTCCCTAAATCCTCCATCTCCAGACCTGCAGTTGGACATAGCATCTCCCTTGCTCTCTGTTCAAAATTGCTATTACGTGTTGCTGTACATTGTTAAATGATTTCCCTGTACTTCATCTCAGAGGCAGCAGAAGTTAAGAGATGGAGGAATTGGGTGGCTTGAGGGACTACTAATGCTGCACAAAGCTTTTCACCTCCTATCTGAATCCAGCTGCAATTTTTGCACGACCAGAAACAGTTACTGTGCAATGCTGGTTTGGTAGATTCTGAAAAATAAGTTGCTTTCTGGCTTTTCTTCTTTTCTGGTGCATCTGTGTCACAAAACCACTTCTTACCACTAGCTACAATACTACAGCCAACACTTACTACCCAATATGAGTAAATTTGAGCACCTAAGCCATAGCTAGTCACCTAATTAAGTGACCTGATTTTCTCAGAAGCAGAATATGTCTTCCAGCTCCCACTGCACTCAGCAGTTGTGAAAATCAGGCCACTTTTGTAAGTGGCCAAACATAGCTGTGACTAGTTTTGAGTACTCAACTTTTTAAAAGTTGGTCTTGACAGGGCCTGAGAGCTGGAGCACCTGGAGTATGGGTCCTCTCCAGGTTCTGGCTGGTGGCTACAGAGGAGGGTATTTGGGAGGGATGCAGTGCATGCCCTGTTTTGTGACTAACCAGAGGCTATCAGTCATCATCACCATTCCCAGCACTAAATTAAAAAAAAAAAAAAGAAAAAGGAAAAAAAAAAGTCTCTCAGTTTCAGGTCCCGTGATAAAAATATACCTTGGCTTTTGTTTGCTTTATGCAGCATTTCCTTCTTGCACTGAAAATTAAATTGAAAAGGGAGTTTATTGTCCCCATGGAAGAGATAGGCACCTTTTGAAATCACGGATGAACAAAAGCATGTGGGGCTCAGCCTAATGTTTTCTAACGCCCTTTGGGGTCCCCGGAGCACAAAGGCAGCAGAGATGGAGCTGCAGTCAATTTCCAGCAGAGCCCTATTGTGCGATTTGTTCCAAGGAAACATCAATTCATTAAGCGAGCAAGTCAACAAAGGTGGGTGGCAGAACCGTCTGTCCTGCTAGATTGTGCATGACTCCTTCAGAGATCTGCTCTGGGGTCTGGAGAGAGTAAATAAAGACTGAGAGCCAGCTTGTCTGCCATCACTTTCCAACAGGAGAAACTGCTCATTTCAAAGCCAGAGCTTTATTGGGAGGGCGTTTTTAATTCACTGCCTCGGATGCAACACAAACAGACACACTTCAGTGGCAAGATCTATGGTTAGGAGAGTCAAATTTTAGTTGTGTTTTAAAGAGCATAAACAACCTAGGCAAGAGGGGAGGTGAACTGAGCAAAGGCAACATAACAGAAACGGATGATGAAGACAGGGTAGGGAAGATCCATGGCCGGCCAGTTGAGGTAGCTGGACATTGCCCTGCTCAAGGAGCAGCCTCCTTGAAAGGTTCCCAGCCTGTGCAAGGGAGAGCTTTTTGCTCTTTGCTCTTGTCTGAACTACTTTTCAAAGCAAAGCAGTGGCTGTTTTGCGTAGTGCATCTGAGCCAGACTAGGAAAAGGTCAGCAAGATAGAACAGACCAAACTACAATGTTGACCGCACAAGATACATCCTTCCAGAAGGCAGGTGCTTGGACTAGCACTCTGCTGATCTCCAATGAATGCTGGCAGATAAGGGCAGCAAAATGCTTCAGGAGGAAGTATTTTCATAATCACACATTTGCAACACAGGCCTTTTTTGCAGCATTATCTTTCTGCCTTCCTCTTACTCTCAAAATGAACAAAAATATGTCTATTCAAGGGGTGGGGAAGCCAAGGGCAGAGCTGAAACACAGCTGAGTCAACAACATATGTCTGCGAGCTGGTGGGTAACATTGCATATTCCTGCATGGTTATCAGAGTGCTTTTGAAAGTCATCACTGCAGACAGAAAGGGCATCAGAAGCGCAGTAAACATCCTACGCAGCACTATGGGCAGAAACAAGAAATGAGGGAGGGTCCCAGCTGCCCTAATCCTAGAGCCACGGGTTGGACCCTGGAGTCATGATCCTTTTTGCTCACTTGGACCCGCTTCCTATAATCAACCAGCAGCATCTTCTCACAGCAGATAACACACTGATCTTGTCCCTTTGGTCAGACACATTCCCTCTAGCTTAAAGATGTCAGCAAGTCTTTCGCACTATTATCAAGCTGTAACATACCATATTTAGTAAGATTAGGTTACAGCTTGAGGCCGGCCGGTGTAAACGACAAGTTTTCCTGTCCTCAGTCAGATTTTCTGTTGCTAACAGCAGGCAGCTCTGAGACACGGCGTATAACCACCAGAGCAAAAGGGAGGGAGCTGCTTCGGCCAAATAACAACAGGAGAATACAACTGTCTGTCACCTTTGTCAGTCCCTGCGCTGTACCCCTGCACGTGCTTCACATGCCGAATGGCAACCAGTGGGGCTTTACCTTTGGTGGGAGCTGCGCTGGTGCCTGAATGCATTGCGTCTAACACTGGGAAAGACACCTCTGTCTACCAGTGCAGCGTGGTAGGTCTGTAGGACATAGATCCTTTTCTGGCACTGCCCATCTGTAGGATCCCTTCCCTGGCTTCAGGGGACAGCTGCCTGGAGACCCCACTCTCGCCTTCTGTGAAGGCTTCTTGCTCTTCATACCTTCCTCCACGCACACCATGTTGCACAAGTGCTGGTTAATTAGATTAAACCAGCATCCTGTTCATTTTGGCCTCCTTCCTACTACACCTGTAGCACTTGTTTGAGAGCAATACTGCCCTTCTTCCCTTAAGTAGGAAGCTCTGAAATCACCTATTCATGGGTAATTTGCCTCCTGACACCTGAGGGCCTGACTTCTTCCCCACAACCCTAATGTTTCTATCCTTTTCTGCCCCCTTCATTCATAATTTTTGCTAAATATTTATGCCATTTGGATTCTGGGTGAATTCCTCATTTTGGCAGTCTCTAGTGTTACAAAGCTGAGCAGATCCACAGCTGCATTTCAATGCTGATGTCGGAAAACACTATTACATGTCTGCAAGTTAAACAGCACTGTGCTGGTTTGTTCTGCAACTGAAAAACTTGCTGAACAGAAGACTTGGGTCTTCTTAGCTGGAGTGAAAAGGGATTTATAGGCATCCTCAAGGGAAATAAGCAAAAGAGCACTTTAAATGTGGCAAGGACTGAAGGGAGCTTGCAAATTTTGGCAAGTTATTGGAAGCTGAAAAATCTCTGGTTTGTGCCCCCTGGTGGCAGTTGATTTTTTCTTGTCCTCAGTACTATTGCAATGTCTGCACTTCCAGACCCAAACCTTTTGATTTTCATTCTGAGCAAATGACCAAAGAGGTCATTAAATGCCAATAGCTGGTGCTTCGCTATTCAGAAAAACATCAGGCCAAGCAGGGAAAACCCAGAGGTCCATATCTCATACTTCGAACAGGCTGCGTGACTTTGCCCCTCAAACAGAGTACGGCGATTTCCAGGCAGCACGTCCGAAAGAAAGCCCCAGGGCTGAGGGAATCAGTCCGGAAAGCGTAACCTGCAGGTTTCTAAATACACCATTACAGCCCTTCCCCAGCAAGGACCCAAGGTTCAAGCAATAGATGTGACTATAGCCATATAATCCAGCATCACTGAAGTATTCTTTTTATTTTGTTCTGTCTTCAGACAAAAAGCACTGGCATCGACAGGTGGAAGAAGTGTTCAAGCAGCATGCGACTGGTTGGTATGAAGTAATAAATGTTAAAAAGAGTAAAAGAAATTAGTGAATTTAATGTTTAAGATTTTAGCCATTAGAATGTGGAATTTTTAAACAGGGACATTATCTGAAAAGCACCAGCAAAATTAGTGAGACATTATTTAAGTGCTGTAAATAAGCAATGCAGAAACAAGCCTTGTCCGAGAGAGTTTGTGATCTCGAGTAATAGCAAAAAAAGGTGGGAGAAGGGAACCACTACTCTCTCCACCCTAGCACCTAAACAGAAAACTGAGACCTGCCTTTTCAAAGATGTTGAGCAATTTCTAGTGCTCTCCTCCCTGTGTTTTGTACACTGAAAGTCAGAAAGGTAGAAGCAGTGACCCAGGTTATATCTTCAGAGCCTCAGTCTGAAACTAAAAACCCATTTTCTGTATTACTCAGTAGTGGTAATGGCTGCAAGTGAGACAGTGCACCTCTCTGCCTGACCTTCCAGAGCTGACTTTTTCCATAAAGGGAGAACAAAAGGGAGTGAGGACAGGGGAAGCTAATGTTGCTGAAAAAAAAAAATGTCTTTATCTGTCAATCTAACATTTCTTTCTCCCTCTCAGGCTGTTCTCCCATGTGGGTGACCCATTCCTCGATGACACCCTGCCTCGGGAGTACGTCCTCTACCTGCGCCCCACCGGCCCCCTGGCTCAGAAGCTGTCTGAGTTCTGGCAGCAGTCAAAGCAGATCTGCGGGAAGAACAAAGCTCACAACATTTTCCCACATATTACCCTTTGCCAGTTCTTTATGGTAAAACAGAGCTCCTCTTTCCGTTGCCTTTATGCATGCATTCATGAACAGCCCTTGCCAGGTCCAGACTGGAGACGTTACACGCTTCATTCAATCGCTGCAGAAGAGTTTGTGCTCAGGAGTTCAGGGGGGGTTATTACCAGAACCGCCTGATGCCTGGGCTTGTTGAGGAGGTAATTGGTTTTTAAGCGGGTTATTTTCAGGGAAGAGCAGCAGCAGAAGACAAATTCTAATAATCTCAAGTGATTGTTAACATGAGAATAGACAGTGTGTTTGTGGGGGTGAGGTTAGGAAGGTTAGTTGGGGATAGCCGATCCTGCTTTGAGGACGAGGGAGGGGCAAATGATTTCTAAACATACCTTTTTCTATGACCCTGTGCTTTTTCTCACTGCATAACAGCAAAGATAGACCATTCACGCCCATGCATCCAAGCCTTTCCTTTCTCTACTGAGTGCACTAGAGAGCTAAGCACAGGCGTAAGGAATGATTCTCCACCTGAGAAATGCTTGTCCCGTTTCCTTTGGCAGTGTGAGGACAGCAAGGTCGATGCTCTCACTGAAGCTCTGCAGGCCACCGTGATGCGGTGGAAATGCAAATTCCCTGCCCCTCTGCCTTTGGAGCTCTACACGTCCTCAAACTTCATTGGGCTTTTTGTCAAGGAAGAAAGTGCTGAGGTGCTCAAGAAGTTTGCTGCAGACTTCGCTGCAGAGGCTGCTTCTAAAGCAGGTGAGTGACTACGCTGGCAGTTACAAAGAGCTCACAGCTTGGTCAAGGCTTGGGCATTTTCAGAAACCGAAGTTTTGATGGTATGAAGAAATGAAGCTCATGAAGCCAATACCCGATTTTTAAAAGTGGCCTGAAGGCTAAGAGCCCAAGAGGAATACCCCACCAGGTGCTTTGGGTTTCAGCGCTTTTTCAGTTGAAAGATCACCTCACACTTAGTCTCAAGTGCTATCTCCTGAAAGGGAAGTTGACATTTGGTGGTTCCTTAACCTTTCAGATAGGCACTCTGGCTGCAAGGCTGAGCATTTCCTGCTCCACTTGCTACCTCAAGCCTTTGTGACAAAACTTTTCTCAGTCATGTAAAGGCTGTGTTGGTTTTTTTGCTACGTTTCTGAGATGCAAACAGGGCTCTGTGAGAAGACCTCAAGTACCCTGGCAACCTAGGAGGGAACCTTTTCCAATAGCCCTATCTCAGTACCAACACGGCTGGCTCCATTGCCTGGTCCTCTACTGCTTCTGGAGGGGGGAACCCGTCAGGAGCCAGGAGGGGGGAGATAACCAGAACATCTCGTGCTCCGATGCTCTCTGCTACTAAATGGGCTCTCCGGGTGTCCTCCGATTACCTCCAAGCTTGGAAGTCAGAACAGCATCGGAGCACTATAATAGCTCCCTGACTAATCCTCCCACCCTCTGTCGCTGTAGTGCTCAGCTTGGACTAGTCACAACACAACCGGTTTAGTCCTTCGTTATCACAGGCTTATCCTGCAGTTTAAGTGCAAGATACGGCAACTTCTGAGTCCCTGGAGTGTTTCTGTGCTAGACAGGCACCCCATAACACCATGCAGAACAGCTAGAAGTCTCTGCCCCTGGTTCAGAGGAAGAGATGCAGACGTGTCGTAGGTTCGTCACACCTCTGCAATGCATTGCTTTCACCTGACAGTGACCTAGAACTTTTCTTCCCTTTAGAAGAGGGAGGAAATGGCTGTTATCTTTACAAATGCACATTTTGGAAGGCAGCAACAAGCACGGAAACATTAGGCGGGTCCAAGCACTGCTGCAGCCACGTAAGAATTGTGTAAGTGTTCCCCTGCACAGCGTGGACGTACCCTCCAAACCAACACAGTCAGAAGGAGCTGCTCTTAGCCAAAAAACACTGACCCAGGCATCAATGGCTCCCAGCAAGCTTCTACCCCTGTGACTACTCCAATTCAGACAAATTGGTTCTTTCTTAGGGGAAGCCAATTGCTGCATTGCAGCCCACAGCTTGGTCAGGTTATCACATTAAAGTCTCTGGGGCTTTTTCGGAGATCCAGAGCATATTTTTTCTTGCTGGTCAAAAAAAAAGATGGATGAGCTTGCAAAGCTATCCTTGGCTGGCACTTGGAGCCAAGTCTCTGAATAGTGGCAATTTTGACTGAATAATCAGTCAAATTTAATTGCAATTTTTGGTTGAATAAGCAAGAATAAATTACATGCAAACAATCTATCCTATGATTTCCACATCTACTGGAAGAGTCCCAATATTTCACATACTTTCACCTTTCTGCTTCCTGGAATCTTTTCCTAATAAAGATTCTTTTTCTGCAGGATCATTTTGAATCATTATCATATCAATGTCTGTTTCCACAATTTTGGAATACCTTGCCCTCAGTGGGCAAACTGGTAATCCAACTAATGTCCAGGGAAAAGATTTAATCTACTCGCCTGAATTTGTAAATCCCATGGATTTGTAATTGCTGCTGTGGGAGAGAGCATAGAGGAGGGAGAGTAAAAATTATTATTTTTAACTTGCTTATTTTGTGGAGATTCTCATCTACTAATTAAAGAAAGGACACCCCTTTCCTGGGAAAGTGTCTTTTTTGGCAGAAGACCCAGTGGGTTCAAAATTACAATAATTGTTATCACACCATCCAGAAACCCGTTGTTTTCTGAATACGAATGAGTTTTGGCAGTTTGGCAAAGATGCCTTGTCTACCTGGTGTGACTTAGGACTGAATCAGACCACAAATCTCTAATAATTTGATCCAAGGTGCAACATATATAGGGAACTCACGTTTGTCTTCCCCAAAGCCTTTTCAGAAACCGCCCTGCAATTTGTTCCACTTGAGCTATCTTTAAAAGTTCAGCTCCCAGTTCCTGTTCAGAGGCGATAGACGCTCTTACACCTTCAAAAAGCTGCTAATCTTGACAGTCACTTGTTGTTAACTGACATCTTCTCGTTGCAGATGTTCACGTGGAGCCACACAAGAAGCAGCTCCACGTGACGCTGGCCTATCACTTCCAGACCAGCCACTTGCCCACACTGGAGAAGTTAGCACAGAACATCGATGTCAAGCTGGGCTGCGACTGGGTCGCCGCGATATTCTCCCGAGACATACGCTTCGTTAATCATGAGGTAAATTTTTGGAGCTTGTTTCAGTCCAAAAATTAAAAAAAAGAGGACCTAGAAGAGTTGCAGGCTGTTTTAGCTGCATTTGCAGCTTGAGAGTGCGAGCTGAATGAGGACTCCCATGTCCGCTGCTGAGAGCTGCACAGATACACAGCGCAGACTACAGAGACATTAAGGAATTTGCCTCAGGTCCCACAAGGACCCAGAACATAGATCTCCCACATCCCACCAGTCATCTTAATAAACAGACCATCTTGCCTTTTTTTGCTTTTTACTCATACGGTCTAGACTTGCTATTTCACCCACCTCATTTCTTGCAGGAAGCATGTCCTGCTGGATTAATTAATTCTAACAATGATTCTCCTCTTAGCTCAAAGTAAGCTGGTCTGATCTCTCAAGAACCAGGCCAGTATATTAACCTGATCGCTATCCATTTCTTGTGTACAGACTTGACATTATTATTAATCACAGCATTTAGTTTCATCATGTAAGAAACATTTAACCCTCATGGCCTATACTTCAGTTACTCATATGGATTCTATAACAGCAGTATCTAAGTGTCTTAACATAGTTTTCTCAATAATGTTGTTGTCCAACACAATATACTGAAAAAAAAATATTATTTTCATTTTGTAGATTGGGATCTTGGGCATAGAGAAACCATGGGTGAGATTCATCTCACCTCCCTGTAAATATCCCCAAGTTAGACCTCGTAAGTCTGAGCCAGTCTGCGGCTCCCTTTGCGCTGAGGCTCGGTGCGGAGAAACAGGCACCTCCAGAAAGTGAGTCATCTGACCCATCCAAGATGTCTATCTCAGAACGAGATGAATCAGCTTCTGGGGGAGGGAACCTCCAGAAGGTGCCTACTCAGGCTTAAGTGGCTAACTAGACTCCTAAGGTTGGGGTGATTAACGCCACCAAAGTGCATTGTCCAGAATCAGACACAAAAAACCTGTGGCAGAGTGGGAAAAAGTTATTTTAGTCCAGCACACGATACACCACAGAGTAAACACATGCCAAAGCTTCTGGAGAGCTGAAGTCTCTCGTGCACAGCGCTCTGACCCAGCCCAGGCCGTGCTTCCCATGCGTGACAGCCTCCTTTCCTATCCAAAGAATCATCTTGTCCTTTAGAAGCTGCAAGCAGTCAACACTATCACTGATTGCAAAGGGAGTTGCTGATGAAAACCAGCTCACATCTTTGCATATCTAACTTCAGGCAGCCATGTGTGAAAGTTTTGGCCTTGTGGTATCAGGTGACAGTGACTAGTTTCCATCTTCCTTTGAAGATACCACCAATAGTTTAGGAGGATTAGTAAGCAAACAGGCTGACACCATCAAGAGATCAGAGCTGCTCAGCAGATTATGGTTTTTCTTTGTGTGATGCCATTGCAGAAGTTAGGCTTGGCCAGGAACAATAACATGTTTGTTCTCCTTTTAAATGGGGGACTGCTGTAGCCATTTCTGAGGAAAGTTACTGATAGACGTTTAATATGTGTGGATTCCTCATGCTCCAGTGAAGAGAAGATTACAGAATTATACTCACTGATCTTTTCCCCACCTTTTAACTTAGTCCTGTTCATGTTAGGAAATACAAAGAAAACAACGTGGCCACATCCCAGTATTTCTCACGACCTGTGTTTTTTGCTGTGTGTTCTCGTGAACAGTTTTGAGAGCAGGGTGTCACAGATTCAAACCTGTTAGCCTCCCAACAGTGTCTCTGCCTTGTCTTCAAAAGCAACAGCAACAAGGAGAACTGCTCTTTCAGATCAAGCACGAGTAGGTAAACCAAAAATGGTCACTGACCACTACAGCTGTGTAAATTCCAGGTCCCAATAAGAATTCAGTTCCATTTTTAACAGGGAGCTTAGATTTAAGCACACGGTCATGGTTTTGCTCGCTCTAAAAAATCATCCCCCCCTTTCCCTCCTGGTTATCAAAGACAGGACTGGAATCAAAGAGGAAAGAAGGAGTAAATACCAAGAAAAGCTTTCCAACAGCAAAGAGTGGGAAGTGGCAGGAATTCCCGGAAGGTAAAGCTTTCCTGGATAAAGCACAAAGTGATGCATTACAAGGAGAGCTGTTCACACCTTGCTAAGGTTAAAGGTCTGGTATGGGAGTGCTCCTGCCCCACTCTGCTAAAGGTTCCCTTCCATTAACAATCCTTTCATTCATTTGTGCTTCTGTTTCTCCCCCAGACTCTGCAAGTGATCTATCCTTACACCCCCCAGAATGATGATGAACTGGAGCTGGTCCCAGGGGATTTTATTTTCATGTCCCCAGTGGAACAAACCAGTACAAGTGAGGGCTGGATTTATGGCATTTCCCTTGCAACTGGCTGTTCTGGGCTACTGCCTGAAAATTACATCACGAAGGCGGATGAATGTGGGACCTGGGTGTTTCATGGGTAGGTAAAGCTGCTCAGTCCAGTTTCTGTTGCTGTAAAAACGGGGCTCAGCAGCTGGGATTTCACCTGGGTAAGTGAAGAGTCTCCCAGGGCTGCTGAGAAGGTTGCTTGGGGGAAACATACTGGCACACAAAGCCCCATCTCATAAGCAAAGGAAGAGCAGATGCTATCCCTGTGCATGGGATTAGAGGACGATGTGATTTATTTAGCTAAGATGTTACAGCAACTATTACTCATACGACTGCTGCTGCTGGTTGATGGAGCCAGAGCAGATGGCTGCCGTAGAGCCACTGCTGTGTAGACACCTCTATGGTGGGACTAGGATAAGGAAGGTTTAAATTTGAGCATTAATCTGGGAAGCGAGAGCTGCTGTGTATAATTCCTCAGGGAAAAGGAGTTGGGATCAGAAATGTTTCTTAAGATACTTAGCAAAATTTTCAGCAGCAGTTAGTTGCCTGCCTGCTCTTGGCTTCAGTGAGAATGCAGACCTTACGTTTTGAATAAGATTATACCTCATGCCTCTTCATTTTGATGGGAATTAGTTAAACACCAGTAAAAAACTAGAGCTTGAGGGGTGAGTCTGGGCACTTCTGCAAGGCTGTCTGCATCTCTAAGCACCAAACACCTTTGACAAATCTGGAGCATAGGGAGTAGTTTGTATGTAAGAGCACAAGAGGACAAGGAGAGGGGAGAGGCACGTTCCTGCCTGCTGCTTCCCTGCTAAGCACCATGCAGGTACAGAAGTTTGATTACGGTCACACCAGCAAGCAGGTTAGTTACAAAGGGAAGGGATGGAGATACAGAACAAAACACAGACAGTTCATATTTCAAATTTCAGTGAGCAAACATGACCTGTGGGGAGGGTCTCTGAGCATTCAGGGAAAGCATTCAGTAACCCATGTCAGCACAGGACAGCCAGAGGAACTGACCTAACTCGGCACTTAGAACCTGATCCAACTCCTCCTCATATCAAGCAAAACACAGGAAACAAAAGAGGAAAAAGGGCAAGCAGTCTTTTTCTTTGTCTGTGACTTTTCAGGCTTAACACATGCAACGTGGTGAATGACAGACGGAGAGCAGGCACAGGGCAATCATAGCTTGCAGGCTGGCTTCCAGATGTGACTGCCACTGACCACTGCCCTTCTGTAAACCAGCACTGGCTTAGCCCTGAGTTCTCCCCAACCACAAAGTCCATCAGGCAGGGACAAGCATAGCAAAAGATCACTCTTTAACCCCTCTTGACAAAACCATCTATTCTTTTCTTACCTGCCCTCTGAGAAATGCACACCACTAATAAAGGGCTTTCATCCATATGTTAGCCAAACAGAACAAACCTATCTATACCGAGTCTGTCACCACCAAACTCCAACTCATCTTCCATTACGAGGAAGAAAACCTCCTGGTTACCTCCAGTAACCAGGGCTTAAAGAAATTAAAATCAAGACACGTGGGCAAAGTCAATCAGAGTGTTTGCATGAAGACAGGACTTAATCCAGATCCTCCAGTGTGCAATCCAACCAGACCATCCTTTCTTCCCCTAAAATTTGCCAGCCAAAATGGTCTCAGGTCCACATACACTGCAGCAGCCTGCTCTAGTGGATTCTGCTTTTTTTTCTTACAGTCCCTAGAAGGGTTTTGAGGCCTAGAGACTAGCATGGGAAAGAATTACTATTGCAGCAGCAACTAAAAGGAAAGCCAAATGTTTTGTAACTTCAGCATCTCTGCCTCCAGACAAGCAAAGAAAGGAAATGCCCCTTCCCTGATTACTGCTAAAGACTATAAATCATGAATTGGAGCATGCAATATGGAGCATTTATCAAAAACATTATTACATACCCGGAAACAGTCTCATTTTACACAATGGCTTCCCGCAGGGAATATTAGGTTACAGAATGTCATTTGGTCAAAACAATATAGCAAACGAAGGATAACCTAAGCCCCACTGCTGTCTAGGCCATGGTATTCACGGTAGAGAAGAACGGTGCCATGGTATTCACGGTAAGAGAAGAATGGTGCACAGATACCTTCATTTCATAGACATGAAAGTAAGCATGGCAGTACTCACCGGGACTGCAAGAGAACTGCTGCGGTGCAGGAGGTGGGACCCAGCTCACGGTGTTGGGACCGAGGCTGCTGTTGGTCAGCAATGCTGTGATCCTGGGCGCTGGTTTGTACTGCCTCTGTGTACACAGCCATGTCCTGTTTCATCCCTGCAGAGGAAGAAAGAAATAACAGCCATGGAGCTTTCCCTCCTAGTCACAAGAGACTGCATTCTTCAAGTGAAAATCATGCATTATTGAGATCATCATGAAAATACAGCTCACTCTGGGCTGCAGCACCCTGGCTATACCACGCAAGAGATATGACAGGCAAAATGCTATTCTGGGATATTTGATCGAATTTTTAATACAGCAAAATTAGATTGCTAGTTCCTGCACATTTCACCTGAAAAAGGTTTCCCTGTTGCATTGCTCAAGTGAGGCAGAAGCTGAACTGTGACTTCCACAGGACATGGGGTTTATGGCTAATATCCAAATAGTACCTCAAGACCTCTGCCCGGCACACAGACCTTCCTGGCTAGCACTGTACAAACATAAAAGAAAAAGATGTCCCTGCCCTATAGTAAGGTCTGTACCTCAGCTGCAGACCAACAGGCTGCCACACTAAGACAAGATTGATGATCTATTTAATAAGGGAGAACAGGCTTTGCCTTCGGGGCAGAGTTACTACCCATGAAACCAGGTTGTGTCTTGAGAGACTCCAGGTCCGAATCCTTTCCCTGTCTACTAAAAATAGGAATGGTATCACTTCTATTCTGCAAACCCCAAGGATTTTCTGTACACCTAAACTACATTTCTTTGCTGGCTGTGGCACATCCCTGCATGATTTCTTCTCATGCCAAGGACTGGACCTGCTGGGGACAGTGAGGCAAAACATTCAGTCTCTGATCAGTGCTATAGATTGGAAAATAATTGAAGACAAATTGCTTCAGCATCCCACACAACGCAACCCAGATCCTAAGTCTGTGTAACCCAATCTTGCCATCCCCTCAGTAAGGGTACTCGAGCGAAAAATAACCTTTCTGAAACAAGCACTGGACTCTCCTTTGGGGAGGAACCGGCTGTGTTTGTATCAATGACAGGAGATCTGTTCTCACTGATCCTAGGAGGGGACCTGGCCATAGTTATGTTAAAAACAAAATACTTCTTCCCCTGTATGGTATCAAGGTGGAAATCGTCTCCTGATAGCAGCAGAAGCTACTGGTGAGCTGAAACTACTTGAATGAATCCAAACTACAGATCCAGTATTAAAGATATATATGTCTATCTACCTTAAAAGCTCCCCAGCAAACTGCTTGCAGGGTATTTTCTAAGTTGCCTTTCGTGCCTGAAAATCAGTGGGCTACCAAGTCAAAAGAAGAAATTCTCCACCCTCAGCACACAGAGCCCAGAGGAATTGGGAAGCCCAGTGAAGGTACAAGAATTTACTTGCCCCACAGAAGCCACAAAAACCAAGCACTCAAGACCATGGGGCTCTCCGCATATGCATGTAAAGGCATGTGGCAGAAGTAAGTGTGCTATCTTTGTATCTGTGGACCCAGCATCACCCAAAAGCTAAAACTTGTGATGGTTCCCTGCACTGCTTTTCCATTACCAGCAAAGCCAGAAATAGTCACCTCCTCTACCCCAAAATGGATAGAAGCGCTGTAGATATTACACAGCAGTCTATTTCAGCTCCCCGTGAGATGCCAAAGCTATTCTTTGCCCCTTTAATAAGCCTGAGAAATCAGACTTGGCACAAGTAGCAGGGGGAGGAAAAACAGCCCTAATTTTTCAAGCTATATTTGGGCCTCAGTAGGTTTTTTTCCACTCTGTCTTCCTCCCATTCTGCAACAATGGCTGGTTCATTTTCCCCGGGGATCCCTCTCCTCTAGATAATGATGAGTGATGTGGCAGAGGAGTCTTTTCCTGCACAGAGCTGAGGACTAGCGCTGTTGTGCCATGACAAAGACCCTTTCTCCATCCTCTGCTGCAGCATCTCCATTCTTCAAGGGGCCTTTCCTGACTGGGAGGACATTGCCTGCAGGGATGCAGCAGCATCACTGATAGAGCAGTGAAGGCAAGACATCATCCAGAAGACAGGAGATGTTGTTGTCTGCCTTCAGTCTCTGTTTGCCAAGCAGAGGAACCACAAGCCTTTGGGAAAAGCTTCCAAACAATGACCTATGCTTAGAAGATGACTAAGCTGAAACAGCTTCAGCAGTTTCTGTTTTCCAGCAACATCAAGGAGATACCACTGAAGTCAGGCTGGTGGCTCTCCTCCAGACACAGCAAGATAGTATGCTTTTGCCTCTGCATCATTCACAGCGAATCCTAGCATTTATAAATAGATAGTACAGTCCGTGGCCTTTTAATAAGGGCTTAGAGAGACAGGAAGTCTCAGAAATTGTGCAGCAGTTCCTGGGGGTAAAGGGAAGAGGGGTAACCAAACAAATCCTTAGTATTCTCCAGGCCAGCGTCCTTAAAAGACTGTCATATGGGCAAAGCAGAAAAGGTCTGAGATAGGATGAGGGGTTGGAAGCCACAACACTGATGTAAAGACAGAGAGCTCAGGCTCAAGATCCACTTTGTACAGCAACAGAGATGGGGCCTAGCTAAGAAATTCAGATTCTTCTCATATTGAGATGTTCAAGTTTTCAGGTCAGTGAGGATGTATCTGTGCTAGCTGCACCCGCACTCCAAGCTCCACTTAATACAGTGATAAATGTCTGTTCATGCTCCCTGCTCAGGGCTTAGCTGCCCTGGGCTTGGCACACACTAACGCACTCGGGCAGCTTTTGGATCAAAGTTGGCCTTATCCTGCCAGCTGGAAGTGTGGTCCGAGTGTACTTCTGCCTGCAATATATGACACGCATATATTCTGAGGAGGAGGGTTAGACATGATTTCTCACCACAGCACCCAGTAATATTTCCCTCGGCTTACCTGCAAAGCTGTCCTGCCTACATTTAACTCCTTTTCAAAATTCACCACCCCTGTTGCACCTCAGAGTCGTACCATGCCTAACTCAGAGGTATTTGCTGCCCTGACCTCTGATGCTCTATCTGCAGTTGGGCAATGAGCTCCTCAGAGAGGAACGGTTCCTTGGAGCAAGCCCAGACCTTGTTGAGAACTCACTATGAATAAAATAAATACAGTTATAAGAATCTGTAAACCTAGAAGGTCAGGTCTGAAAGAGTAAGAGCAGGAGGCTGGAGAGGTTATCTGCTGCCAGAGGGCTGTGCCCATGATGGCTGCTGCAAGGCTGCTGCCTCACGCTGCCTTGATGGGGATGGGAATCAACAGTGCTGTCCCCGGCACGGCTGGTTCCCACCTCCTGCTCCCCTTCCCTGCCAGCACTTTTCTGCATGGCGTCTTCACCTCACCGAATAAGACAGTAACTCAGTCTCATCCTTGCACCCTAATTCCACCAGATAAGGGACCAACATCAGGACCAATAGTGTGGTATTTTTTTCTTCTTTAAACTGGTGCAAATCATATGATCTCACAAAAGATCAGTTCTTTACAAAAATGCAGATGACCTATTTTTGTTCCACTGGTAGAGGCACTTGGTATTATTTTAACAGCTATGAAAGCCCTCTGAGATTTTATCCTAACTAGGTGCTAGTCAGGAAGCAACTTCTGACATATTTAAGGCACTGAAAAGTGCAAGCAAAGGCAACTATTTCTGTCAAAGTAAATGACCATCTACATTAATTGACAACGTTTTTTTTTTTTAATGACTAAGCAAACGTAACCCATACAATGTAACCGAATCAGCAGAGGGTCACTGCAGCTCCTGTAATTGCCTATCAGAGTTTACTCCCGAGGGTCTTAGTCGAAGTCCTTGAACGTCTGGCCATAAGAGCTTTATACAGAGGGACCATCATTACATAAGCCCCTTGAGGGAGAATGGGATCTATTATATCCGTTTGGCTACACTTAACAGGAAGCACTAGTGAGAATAAATTTCCACTGTAGATGGGAAACGGAATAGACAGTACTGAAAAATGTAGAAACAACAACCCAGAGTGAGTGTGCCATGTCCCTACCAGGGGATACAAGCTATTTTGTGCACAGGAACCCTGAAAACTGCCCAGCATGAGAGGCAGGGCTGCACTCCAGCTTTCTATTGAAGCAATAGCTGATGCCACAAAGGTGAGTGCAAACTCTCTGTAGCCATTACTTTCCAAACTTTGGTCCACAAGACCATGGTAAGTAATGTGCAGCTGGTTCCCAGATGATGTTAGTGAGCATCCTGTGGCTGCGAGGAAGGTCTTGGCATTTTCCATGAGAATATTTGAGGGCTGACAGAGCCTCGCAGACTAAAGTTTGGGAACTGTTGTTCTGTGAAACTGTTTCTAAGGAAACAGAAAGCCTATTGAGATGGGATTTCTCTCTTCATGTGTGTACATCACCTAGCAAGGTGCTCTTAGGCAGCACTAAAATACAGTAATAATGTAATAACATGACAACAGTAATTATCATCAGTTCCTGAAGACTACAGAAATGTCCTTACTGCAGCCAGAGTGCACGAAGTCCAAAGCATTCCCAAAGCCAACACCTTTCTATTTTTGGCAGGTCCTACTCAATTCTGAATACTACATCTTCCCCATCCCTTCAAGCCTTCACTGACGGAGCTCTGGAAAGAAGACAGCAGGAAGACCAAGGACCCGGGGATGCGGGGCCACTCACTATCATCTGCCAGAACGTGCAGGTAGGGACCCACACACATATATAAATCACACACAGTTTTAGTGGCAAGTTTCCAGCAACTGGGTTTTCCCCAACAACTTATCCTTTGGTCTCCTTTCACTGTCTGCATCAGAAGTTACAAGTTAAAGTTCTCTACAAGCTTTTGAATGACACGATTAACCACAGGCACAGACATTGCTGTCCCCAAACCTGCTCTTAGCATGGGGTGGCAGGGCCCCATCCTCTGCTCACTTTAACAGTTTTACACTAGCATAAATTTACCAACTTCAGAAGAGTTTCCTGTACCTGCATTTGCATTAGGGTAAGAGGTGCCTGGTCCTGACTCCCGTTCGTAAATCAGATCTCAGAAAAACCTGTGCACTTTCATGAAGGTCAAACATCCTGTAATTTTTCTTCCAGCCCCTGAGAATAACCAGCCAGCCAGGGCCTCAGAAACGCTGCCTGTTTGTCTGCAGACATGGGGAAAGGATGGATGTCGTTTTTGGGAAGTACTGGTTGTCACAGTGTTTTGATGCCAAAGGTGAGTCAGCTCCCATGGGTCTCTCAGGCTCTAGGTTTAGATGAAGGAAGGAGAGTGGCCACTGCCTGGGGCAAAGCTTAGATGGAAGTTGTGGTTTCCTAACACAAAACATTGCTTTGAGCAGTTACGGGTGGCAGAGCACCACAGTGCAGAGCTCTGTAATGGTAGGGCTGCAGCCAGAAGCGGAAACACAAGCCAGGGAGTAAATAATACATTTGTTAATATTTGGGAAACTATTGCAGGAAAGATTACATTAAAGTAACATTGCCAAAGAGCATTTTCATTTGGAAATTAAGTCATGATGTTAGTAGTCAGTGTCCAGTGCAAATATCTACTACCATCAGGAAAACCTTTTGCACAGCTGGCTCTCAGTCCTAAATGAAAGTAACACCACTGCAGGTACAGTTCAGAGTGCCTTTTGGGGCATAAATTGGAGTTTGCAACCCACTAATATGCTTGAGTTTCAGACTATAGTTAACAGACTATAACTTCAGGCTCTGTAAGCATTAGAGCTGATTTTATTTAAATTTATCAAAAGTCTTTTTTCTATTCAAAAAATGCCAATATCTTGTAGTCAAAATCGTTGGGAAAAATGATGATTTTACAACTACCTTCTGTCTAAATTATGTTTGAAGAGCTCTGACATTTTAGCCTCCTGTAAAAGTGTGACATTTGAGGTTTCATTTGTTGTGGGATGAAAATTATTTTCCTTTGGGGCATTAAATCTGTCCTAAAGATAACTTTAAAAACATTAGCAACATTCTCTGCTGATTTTGAACTGATACTTAATTTTGTCAGATTCCTGATAGTTTTACACGGGAAAAACTGCTTGACAGCCAGGTCTAGGCAGCACCTGCAAGGTGCGGACATTGTGGTGAAAGAGGGTAGAAACATGCCTGATGCTCTCTGCCTCTCTCTGATCAAATAATTCCAGCAACTGCTTCTAACCTTTCCCTCACAGGAAGGTATATGCGTAGTAACCTGAATATGCCTCACAGCTTACCTCAAAGAAGCGGCGGTTTCAGGGATTATGAAAAAGACGCGCCAATCACCGTGCTGGGCTGTATGCAGGCAAGGCTTGTTGGTAAGTTGTCCTCAGCAGACAAGAGCTTGCCCAGGAAGCTTTGCTATCTTCCTCCCACACACCCAGCCAGAGAAAGAGAAAGTGCAAGGCAGAAAAAAATGAATTGGGTGCTCGGAACTAAGGGGATTTAGACGTTTCAAGAACCTTTGCAAAGTCCCTTCACCTTCCCCAGCAAGACCCCTCTTTCAAAGGAAATCTTGTCTCCTTCAGCTGCTGCAGCTGAAGAAAAGGCAAAGCAGAAAATCTAGGACATGGTATGAAATCAGAGCCATCAGCAGTGAGGTTGCAGAGCATTCACTACCACCCCGTAAACGTGCCACACTGGAAGATGCTGTTATTACCAATGTTGCTGAGAAATGCAGCAGCGTGATGGTAACCTCATGCAAAATATGCTTTTTCCTTGACTTTGACAATCTTAAATTTTGACCTGCAGTTTGCTACACCAATATACTTTTATCAGCCTGTCTGGCTTTATGTTTATGTGGCAAAAACACAGTCCAAATTATTTCCAGTGTTCTCCCACCCCACCCCCATCCTTGTCCCTGGCTTCTGAGCCTGTTGGTTTGTGTAGAGACAGAAAATTATTTGGTAGTCAAAGAGCACATATTGAGCATTGTGATTAGGGGAGACCAGCCCCTAAAAGACATGAGCTTCAGAGAGCAGTACTTAGCATTTTCTCAAATTCAAATCTTTAGAGTACTTTGTGTTGGTCACATTCAAACTAGGGCAGCTAAAATTATACTTGCTTTTTAAACAAAAACAAATCACTGTACAACAACAGGATGCTGAGACTCCCGGCCACATGGCATCAGGGTTCGCAATATGCACATAACAGAAGGCGAATCTGGGAGCAATCACAGCACACTTTGCTGGTATCATTAAATGGGTCCGAGTACGCAACTGCATACATGACCCAGACGCCATCAACCTGCCAGCGCGGCTGCGGCATGCCAGCCATCTGCAGGCAACTGCTCCCTGCTGCAGCGGCACAGACTCGACCTTGACGATTGCCGGAGCCGTAATTCCTCTGACGACTAAAGCAAACAAGCAGCTTCCATGTGACGGAGGGCTGTTAGATGTGCCGCTCCTTCTAAATTACCCCACTTCTCTCAAGAGATTTATAGATCGGTTTGACATGGTTACAGCCATCATTAAACATACGAAGTCAAGGTTAATAACCCCTTCTTGCTCCCACTTCTTTGTCCTGCCTCTTCAAATATAACAAAAATATAACTCTCTCTTACTACAAGTCTGTGCAATGCTGCGCAGATTCCTGTTCTCATTTGGTTCCCTTAGGCATTGCAAGAATATTAATAACCCTAATAGTGGAGTTGATTCTTATCTCATTTTCTGTGATCTTCCACCTGTGTAATGAAATGGTAATTTATACTAGCAAAGAATCGAGCCAATTGAATTAAGCTGGGTTTGAGTTAAGTTGAATCATTCTGATTTACGGCTTATAAATGAAATGAAATTAAATTCAAGCTCTCTACAATTTTTCTCAGCACACTGTTTGCTTTTTGGCTAAATCTAAGAGAAGCAGAAACTAAGCAAAAGCTGGGGGGATTGCTTTGCATACTGGTTAAGTACCTAGATGCACGTGGAGCAACACACACAGAAAAACGTATCCTGGTTCCACAGCTGTGCACATCACAGTGCCCAACACACCACTGAAATAAAATACGATGGGTACACGTATTTCCCAAAACACAAGCAGTGCAGCTGGGAAGCTGCTTTAGCTCCTTGCTGGGTGGCAGATACCCTGCACGCTGCTGTTGCTGTTACAATGCCATTTGTCTGGTTTTATTCACGGGTGTTGCAACTTGCTTGCAGGTGAAGCCTTGCTAGAAACTAATACCATCGTAGACTACATCTACAGTTCCCCATCCCTACGGTGTGTACAGACAGCACACAATATCCTGAAAGGTAAGAACCCAATGAGCAGGAAAGACTGCATTCTCCTTACTTTCTGGGAAAAACACTGCCAACCAGATAAAAGGGAGCCTGGCATGGGAGACCCAAGTAAATGGTAATTTGGGGTGAGGATTATTTCCGTGGGAGTTTACTTCCCACTAGCGCAACAATGTCCGTAAGGAGCCGTTTTCTAATTGCATAGTGTGACAAGTGCTTAAGCAAGCGACGTGCTGGCCCTAACACCAGCTGCCAGTCAGGGTTGGGTTTATTCCCCACCCTGCAGAAGCCAGAGGTGCGTTCAGGATGGGTGGACACATCCAGCTCAGCATGCCCTGTGCCCTTGCCTGCTAACGCTCCTGCAGCTGCTCGTTGCTGCGTGCTCCCACAGCAATTGCTACTACCAAGAAACTTGCTACCCCCAGTAAGAATAATTTACTGCAGAAACTGGGAAGGGAAATAGTGATAGAGGCATGAGATGCCTTGGCATTGGAAACAGTTGGAAAACAGCTCCAAAATACAGTCACGCCTAGGTTCAGTGTATTGCATGTAGCTGCCGGCCAAAGGTTTACATTCCCTGGCATATCATATGCCAAGTACATATATTAAATACTTCATCTTTCATACCTACTATTAATCAACTGACTGCTTAGAGGAAAAAAAAAAATTTACAATCAAACTGAAGTATTAAAGTTGCAAAGTCTTGCTGCCTTCCTCCCCAGCTGCTTTCACTGATATCTGGTCTCCTTTCTCCCTTTTCCAGGTATGCAACAAGAGAACAACCTGAAAATTCGAATAGAGCCAGGCTTGTTTGAATGGACCAAGTGGGTCTCTGGGAACACATTACCTGCCTGGATACCCCCCGTGGATTTAGCTGCAGCTACTCTAAGCGTTGATACAACCTACAGGTAGCAGAAAGGGGGGTGAGAGGGTCTTGCATTGCTTTTTGGCTTTGTTTTTGAAGAGCAACACTCTACTGAGTTTTTAAATTTAAGCAGTGACTTAAGAAAGAGCTGCTGAGGCTCCCAGAATAAACTTAGAGCAGGCTCGAGGCTGCTGTGTTGAACATGACCTGAGAATGCCTTATTATAAACCAAATTTCCCAGATCACTGGTAAGGTCCAGCTATATTGCTGATCATGGAAGTCCTATTTCCAGTACTCCTTCTGTCCTGGGCATCTTTCAGGTGTCCAGGAAACCCTCAAAGTATTTTTGTTTGGTTTAACCCTTTTCCTAAAATTTAGAAGTTTGGGCTCAGCTAACAGAACTAGTTTTGCTGACTCAGTTCCCTGACCATCGTGTTCATAGACTGAACCAGATCCTGGGCTCATTCACACGTGCCCTTCCATTCCCCAGAGGAAAAAGCTTGTCTGTCTTTCTATTATGATTAATATGGTGATGGATCTTAATTGTAAATTTTGCAACACCATGGGGAACATGTTTACATCTGTCAGGAATTCAGGGTCTCCTGTGGCATCAAAATTCAGAGGTTTTCTATCAAAAAGCTAAACCCTAAGCATTTATCACTTCTCAGCTATTACATCTGAAATGTTTTTAGTGGAAAAAATTGCAGGTTTCTGACTCAGGTTTTCATGGTATTCAACCCAAAAACAGTTGGTGAAAGCAAACAAAACAAACATCTGGTTAAAAAACATTTGAATGGCAAATGGATAAGCACCACTGATCCTTCCTCCCACTTTGCAGAAAAGGGAAACAAAGATAATTCGCTCAGCTTTCAGGGTCCCTGACAGAGCTGCTCCAAAAGCGCAGAGCTGACCTTCCCAGGGCTTGGCATTTTTGCCAGCCACCCCTGTGGCTGCACAGATTAGTCCTGGTGCCTAGTTAGGCTCCATATACTGAACTCGTGCACTTGCTGCCAGCCTCTGCTGCTTTCCTTTTATCCAGCCACGTGGCCGTACCTCTGCGTTACCAATATCATTGCCAACAAACACCGCGGGGCTGCTGGGAGCAACCTGCAGCCTGAGTCTGGAGGGAAACTCCAGATTCTTCTGACTCCCCAGTGAAGCATCCCAGCCGTGGTGCCCTCCAGCCTAACACACAAATGCTTTTTACTGTAAGCTGCAGAGCAAAAGGCTAAATAAAGCCCAGCAGGAACAGTCATGTGGCAAAGAATAGACAAGATGATCTGTTCGGGCTTCCTACTCTCAGATTTATGATTCATTTATACAAGCCAAACTCAAAGAGCTCCCACAAAGAAGGAAACTCCAGAAAGGTCACACGGTTCCAGTTCTCCACCGCACCTCCCTGCTGAAATATCTGTATCACTATGACTTCTTGCAGAGACTAGCCCTTTCTATCTAGTGTGAGCCTGATCACCATCTGAGCAATCTCAGATAAAACCAAAACATTTATAATACACACATACTATATATACACAGGAGTTCCACCTACATGGGCTTGGTGACAAATATTTTGTGGCTGGGCTTTTGTGGTTTATGTTTCCCAGTGTCCCAGTGCACCCGGGTGTTCAAGAACCCTCAAGTGGAATAAGCAGCTGAAACATTAAGAAGAAAAACAAGAAAGAAAATGTTAAAAAAAAAACCACCTGATTTTTTTCATACCTAATTATACCATAAACGACTTGTGTTGCATCCTTTTGGTCTGCAGCTAAAATTCCAACACTCTGAGGGTATCTAAATAGAAGTTCTAGCACTGTATTTATCCCTGAAATGGTATCACATGGCTAACACTCGGCAGAGCAGCTGGACCACAGGAGAGTCTCTGCTTCAGCAAATGCATGCCTTCTGGGAAGACCGTAACAAATATTCTCAGCACAGGAAAAGAGCCTGCTCTTGTGTGGTCAGCTGGGACACAGCCCTCCTGGTGCTCTCTGTCTCCTATCACAAGTGTAATTCCTGTAGATATATCAGATTACTGGATGGAGGGAAAAGTTGGGTCTTTTCCTTTGCACTGCAGCACGAAAATACAGCCTTCTGCTTCCTATCCGTTGCTTCTCTGTGCGTTGTATCAACCTACTCCAGCTGATACAATTGGCCAGAGTCCCGCCAGGCAATTCACTGAAACGCCCTGGCCCGGGAGGAGGCCAGCTAATTCCAGGCATTTCCCAGCAATGCAGCTTTACAGATGGCCAAAGCAGCAGTTTGCCTCTGCCCTTCACCATCAAAGCACGAGCAGTGAAGAGAGCCAGCATCCACCTTCTCCACGCTCCACATTTCTCCCTGTACCTGCCCGGTCTCCGCAGACAGACACAGATGTTGTCAGTCCACCCTCTAAGCTGGAAGCCGTGGTAGCACAGTGCAGACCTCAATCTGGCAAAGACGGCTTGGGCGGTGGCTTGTCATGCTGCTTGACCGCACAGCTCCCAGCCAGCAGAGCCGACCCGCCTGTCCGCAGGTGGCTGCGTCGACACCGTCCTCGTCCTGCTGTCCCTTCCTGCTCACCCACTCCTGCTGGGTACAGATTTTGTTCTCCTGCCACTCACTAACTTTATGTGGGTGGGCGAGCCCTGAAATCTGCTAATCAAAGGACACATGCCTAAATAAATGCAAAGTGGCATTGTTATTGCTGCATGCCATTGCAGAAGTAACAAGTATAATCAGCATGTCATATGCTGCCTGCACTAACTGGTCCACATTAGAGGAAGCAGTTATCTTTTTTCCCAGCTAACTGAGGTATCTTAATGCAGGAATGGTAAACATCTCAGTCTTGAAGTTTGAAAATCATCATAGTCGTCCTGACACAAGATGTAGCTCGGGGGATTTGGGGAAGTAGAACAGTTAAAGAAACAGATACTTTCAGATGAATCATAACTTGCACTTAAAACTTCATCACTTCTTCGCAATTTACCATACTTGTTTTTCTGCTCACAGACCTCATATTCCTGTCAGCAAGTTAGTGGTTTCCGAATCTTATGATACATACATAAGTAGAAGCTACCAAGTAACAAAAGAAATCATCAGTGAATGTAAAGGCAAAGGTAAGTGCTACAGAGGGGTGAAAAACCAAGACAGGCTCTCTGGGGCGTGAATGACGATATTCCCGACCAGTCTTTCCCTCTTCAAAGAGATGAATTCCCATATCTGAGTCTCATCCCCTCTCCCAGAGACATCGAGAACTCCAGGTTCAACTGTATGTGTCAGAATTATGAGTTGAGATACGCTCAGCTCACGAGAAAGGTCCATAAACTTTAGTAGCAGAAGTATTTTAGGGATCTCTACCCAATGCCAGCTATCTGTTTCTCTAGGGAATAAATAAGCCATTTGCACTCTGCTGTCTGGTACCAGCATCAGATGGGGCATCTTCCATCCCCTATCTGAGCTGCTCTTCTGAAATATATACCCATAAAGACAGTAGAACATTTCTGCAAACACAATATTCAAATAAAAAAATCTCTAGCTATTTTTCATTCACCATATAGGAATAAGATGTTTCTAAGTTCTGATGATTTCACTAATTTCATTTAACTGATCCGTTTCTACATTCTAAACCTTTTATTTTAATAGTTTGCCCACAAACATCGATAGCACAGTGTGACATTGGTTGTAAAGGATCTTGGAAATAGAAATCTAAAGCAATTGCTGTGGAAAAACAGCAACTGAAATTAAAGTGCTTGTTTTAATCAGAATTAATTTGGGGGTAAAAGAAAAGTATTTGCTTCACAAGAAGCTGAAATCTCCCTGGAATTCTTGTTTTCTTCAGAAAGCCATTTTAAAACTAAGTAGCACTGAGTTAACCATTACCCTGAAAATTGAGAAATGCTCTAAATATGTTACGAAACCATGCTTTTTCCCCCATGTACACGTAGTTCAATGTGTTGTCACAGGATAAACTGAACCCATTTTGAACATTTTAAATGGTTAGCTTCATCTTGGGCACCAGTCCCTAAACCTGGCTTCATCCCCCTCGTCAGCCTACGTTTCTTACTTTATTTCAGGAAATAACATCCTGATAGTGGCACATGCATCCTCCCTGGAGGCTTGTACCTGCCAGCTCCAAGGGCTCTCGCCGCAGAACTCCAAGGACTTTGTACAGATGGTCCGAAAGGTAATTACCATCAGCAAGGAGTAAAGCTCGCTGGCTTTACAAAGAGAAAAGAAATTTGCAATCTGCTTAACCAGGCAGAGGACACTTTGTTCCTCCCGTCTGATTGTTCTGCCCCTTACTGAGTTTCATCCATTTCAGAAGTCATGAGAGTAGAGCAGATGATTGGTTTAAGAGGCTTTTCTTAATGTGTCACTTCTGTAACAGATAGCGTGGGATCACCTACAAATGGGCTTGCAGTGACTCTGCTTTACGCTTGTAGATACCGGGGCTGTACAGAGACTCCCACAGTGCCCTCCAGTGCCGAAAACACCCTAACCACAGTTAACTAACAGGGCACTTCTGCCCTACAACACTTTCCCTTCTCATTTCACTCTAAAGAGCTTTTAATGGTCAGGGAAAAGGCCTGAAAATTATAATGGGGTCTTCTGCCTTCATTGCTTTACTCCCGCCCTGGCATTGTCCACTGCCAGCCTTGCAGACACTCGTTGGGATATTCATAGCTGATACTTGATCTGAGGACACCTGAGCCAGAGTAGCATCCATATTTCTCCTCCATAGCTGTGCTGGCCTTCAGGGTTTGGGACCATGTCAGCCAACAGGACATCTCTGGTTTGAACTGGCCCATATTTAAACTACCTTACAGCAGCATCATCTGTCTTTCCCAGTGTTTTGCACGTACAATGGTGCACAAAATCTGGCTGTCACACCTGAGTCCTACGATCGTCTTTTGAAAATTTTAGAGAAGACAGTGAAATGCTTCAGTAGCACAGCAGGACTTCAGCCCTTAGGGGAGCTCCCTCCTTGCACAGCTCGATCCCTGCTCATTGCCTTTATTCCCATCTCTCTTCACACAGATTCCATACTTGGGGTTTTGTTCGTGCGAAGAACTGGGAGATACAGGTGTTTGGCAGCTTACGGACCCCCCCATCCTCCCTCTCACACACGGACCAACTGGAGGCTTTAACTGGAGAGAAACCTTACTGCAAGAATAGGCAAAGCTACGTGAGCAAGGAAAACCCATGGCCTTTCTAAGCGTTGGAGAATGTCTCTTCTTTCTTGTGTTTATTGAGAGTGGAAAAATAGTCATAATATGTTCAGTGGATCACACAAACAGCTGTTCTAGCATATCTCTCACACAGCCACAGTCATGCAAAAATTCTCATATACAACTAGGCAAATACAAAAGGGAGTGATTTGAAGGAAAAAATATTAAATACAGCTTGAAGCCCTTGCACAGCAGGGAGTCTCTGTTTAGTCAGTAGCTCGGGCAGATTTTCCCACCTTGAATGGAGCTCTGACAACACCAGTAACTTTCACTGCCTTCTGCACCGCGTTAGAAACAACTAGCACTGTGTAAAAGTCGAGCATTCAGGATGCTGGGGGTTTTTTTCACTACTATTTTTGCAAAGCATTAGCAGGCTTGTTCAGGAGCACGTGTTGCGATCCCCCTCACTTACAACCCCCAAATTCTCAGCACCTTCTATAAAGCATATCACCACCAGCTGGAAATGAGAGTCCAGCATTGCCTCTGCAGGCAGCATCAGATTATTCCTCTCCTCTATTTGAGCTCTGTGTTAGGGGTTGTTGGGCATACCATGGATGCAAAGATTGATCGACACTGATCCACGTCAGAAGAAAATTCTGAATTTCACCTCAGTTACAGATGAAGTTGGCACGTCAAAAGACAGCGCCATTGTGAACAAAGACTGGGAGAAGTTTCTTTTAAGTGAAGATGAAATAAGCCTTTTCCAACCAAACCTGAAGGATTTAGAAAGTTGGGGCGTTTTTTCCTTTATTTAGGTTATTGAAATCCACCCTTGTGCACAGACCCGGCCTCAAGTGTTTATGTCATTTAAATTCCCTTCAGAAGACCTTGAAAAAGGGTTTTTCCTTTTATACTAAGATTTTGTGCTGGTCATTTACACAGTGGTGGCTTTCTGTCCCTTGTGAGCTTTTCCGTCTGAGCCCTGGTGAGGTTCTGCAGTAAGCAGCTTTCTTCAGGAGGTAATGATGAAATCAAAAAGATGCTGAAATTCAGCCTCTGCTGCATGCTTTGCTTCCTTTTCCTTAATTCCTAAGTACCATCTGTCATAAAGACAAAGAAGAGCTGAAAAAACAGTACACTTAAATTTAGGGGCAACATGCTTTGGCCTATTAAGATGTTATTCTTCTCGTGGGGGAAGGGTTAAGTTTTGGGGAGAAGGGGAAGAGAAGGGTTTCCATCTGTAGCTAAAATCTTTGAAATCACAGAAGGGTCCTCTTAGTGCAACAGCCTGCACGATCCCAAGATCAGCTGTTTCACAGGAGAATGCAAAATACACTGCAGCGGGCAGTTTAGAGCATAAACTGGCTTCAGAGCAGGTTTCTTTTAGATTAATATTATCTTAAGTCATCAGCCTTGGGTCGAAGAGTTGCTGCAGACATTTGTACAGGTCTTATCAGTGCAGGCTCACTTTGAGAAGGTACTTAAAAATGTGCTTAAGTGGGATGAAAGAGATTTAGGCATACTCCTTTCTTGGTTTGGGCCATAAGTCTGAGTATTCCCATAAATACCATCAAAGGCAAGTTCAGAAGTAAGAGGAAAGAAATTCTGGCATCCTAGGTACCCCTCTTCTGCCAAGTTTTACCTCTGCAGAATGTGTTAGTGTCCTCATTTGAAATGTTTGTATGGCACGGAAGTTTTGCTGGCCAACTTTGACGAAGGCTTGTGATTCATAGCAAGATCAAAGTTTGATTTTGTGTTGGTTTCTTTTAACCTATCAAGCCTTCGGCAGGACTGGTCTCACCTTCAGTAGGATATGACTGAGCTGCACTTTCAGCAGTCAGAACAAATAAGGAGTGATAAACTGCAAGCCCTTCTTCCTAAATGAGGCAAAACACTCAGCAATTGCGATGTAACAAATTTTAAGGGGTTTTAGCTTAGCTTTGCCTCTGGGTTTTATTGAGCTTGCCGGGGAGAGTACACCAGATTCTGTACAGACTTTGAGTCAGCAGAGAGCTCATCCTGTGCAATATGTACATTATCACGATCCATAATGATAGTCCGTTATTTATACATTTATGACTATGTAATACACAGTAGGCCATTCATAAGTGCATTATTATACCAGGGTTGTATACTGTAAAGTCAGGGAGATAACTTATGAGATGACAGAAGAAACTGCTCCCGTGCAGTTAAACTGCTGTCACTTTAGTTTTTAACTGTAATTTAAACTATTTTTGGCTGTGTACAGACATTCTGAAAAGCATTTCTGGCTTGTTTTCCTCCATGCTTACTCACTGCAAATTTGCAAAGAGTTTAAAACTAAATAGATGACAATCACACCAAAACTAATTTGGTAATTGATGCACCTGTAATTCTCCAGGCTGCTTTTTGTTTCACACTATGGGCCAGCAAGATGTAATTTGAGGCAACAAATAGTGCCTATACAAAACAGTGGAGGCTGCTCAGGTCCTACTGCAGTTAAGCAACATTACAAGGAGTTTATTTAGACAGAAGTATGAAGCAGAGAGGGAACAAAACCTGAATGCACAATTTGAATATTGTACTAGGTGATCTTTGCATAAGATAAGCAATACAGAAAAGTGTGTTCTGTTTGAGAAGGTAGATGTTAAAATACTCGCTTCTTAAAAAAAAAGTATATTTTTGGATGTTGGGGAAAGTATTTTGACAATTGTAGTCTTATCTCAAATTAGATTTTTCAGGTGTCAAGAATCTCAGAAGAATCTTATTTTCTAGCATTTTGACTTCTCATAGGGGTTTTGTGTTAAGTAGTCTCATGTTGATAAGGCTTATTGGGGGAAAAAAAGAAAAAAAGAAAAGAAGAAAGATGTTCCTTTTAAATTTTTAATTGAGATGTTAAGAATACAAAATAATTGCTGCTTCACTTTCACTCCATTGCTGCTCATTAATGTGTATTTAATGTCACTTCAGTGTTTTGTCCCAGAAGAACATTAGACTTGATCTATCTAAAGTGCATGCAAGTCTTTTTCTTGCCTTCACTGTGAGCTGCATCAGATCCCAACAGTTTAATTAGGGTATAGGAGGCAAATAGCAGTTCCTAGATTTTTCTCTCTCTTCCCAATTAAGGAATAAAGCTGGAAATCTGCCAAGAATAAGTTGTTCATCCAGTGTTTTCATAACTTGCAACTTGAGGGTGGGGCTAGAAAAATTACAAGAATCAAAGTGCAGAATCAAATTGTAGTACAGCAGCAGCTGATGGGATGACAGTTGGCACCAGAAGATGAAAATCAGGGTATTTGGAAAAGTTCAGGTTTGATCACAAGTTTGTCCTTATCACTGGACTGTCTATCTCCCTCTGCTGAAGTAGATGGGAGGGGGCTGCAGCATGCCCCAACCCCAAGGCTTGAGCTCTGCCCAGGGATACCTTTCTAGTGTAATGCAGGTGCCAGGTCTAAAGTTTCATGCGTTTCCCTTACGTTTAGTGTAGTGGCAGCTACAGCCAAATACTTAAATCCTCTGAGCATGGAACCAGGTTCTCCATGAGTGTAAATTGGCACTATATACTCAAATCAACAGAGCTTTGCTTGCTTATGCAAACTGAGGATCCAGGCCATAAGTTCCAAAAAAACGTACTTCCCTTTTCACTCAGACTGAACAGTTTCAGAAAGAAGTCAGCTGATGGTAGGAGCCTCCTTCTTTCCTCTGGTGTTAGCTTCTAGTGTCAACGTTATTATGAAAGTGATAATTTACATCACCAAATAAGTGGTTGTTTACAAGAATTCTGCAGGAATTATCTTTAGTGAATGCAATGCAAGCGGTAATTCTGCAAAACAGAGAGGGTAGAACGGATGCTAGAGTGCTATTTCCCAGTGTATTATTTTGTATCTGCAGCCCTGAGCCCCCCAGGTAGCAATATCTCAGGGACGTGGGTACTGTCATCTTTGTGTGCTAACTGCAGCTCTTGGGGAAAAAAGGTCAGAGGATGGGGAGGGGGTTGCATACGGCACTGTGGCAAACTCAGTCTCTCCACTTAGCTCCTGCATACTGCACTGGGTGAGAGGGGTTATAAATTTTTCCCTCTGGGTCCCAGGGGTCCTTACAAAGGCCTGATCCAGAGTCCAGGGAAACAAAGAGGAAGATTTCTCATTATTTCCTCAGGCTTGAGATGAAGCCATGCAAAGCCTGGTCCTACCACAGGCTGCTCCCCCGCACTTGGCACTGACTTAATGACGAATTTGGAGGACTCACATCTGTGCTAGGTTGAGCCCTTCCAGTCCTGATTTAAGAAACGCATGCAGAAGTAAGGTGAGATTTAGTGTCCGATTATATTCATGTTCATTTCAAAAAGAGGGACGCTAGATAGTCAAGTTAGGCTGTAGTCGACTAACCCTCATTTAAACCCAGAGCTGGAAATCTGTGATGCTTCACAACTTAAAATGTATTGAAATTCCATATGAAAATGATTGTTTAGAAAGGGAGCCTTAATAGGTTTCGTTTGTGGTTTGGTTTTAAAAAAGAGCCTAAGCATAGAGGAAATTATTTGAACTTTAAAAATATATGTGAAATGATGGTGGTAGCAGACATGCTTAAAATGGTGAATGAATGAACAAAAAAAAAAAAAAATTAAGCAGTAAGTGTGATTGGTTGCATATACTCTAAATCGCTACTTTCTTCTCACCGCTTCCTCAAATACTTGTTCCCTGGGGAATATTCATGAACCATATATGCTACGTAACAGAAAATACGCAGCCAGTTCCTTTCTATTACTTCCCATTAAAATGTATTTTCTGAAGTTTCTCTCTGTGGACATCTCTTAAAACTTGATGTTATCAATGGATACTTTTTTTTTTAATTTTAAACCTGTTGTATCATTCTGTTTATTATGTTTTTTAGTGTGAGCAGATTGTATTTATTTGAGAAAAATGTTTGCTGTTTAAAAAAACCAATAATTGTATTGCCAAAAATAGCTGTAATTACCTGTGACATCTGTATTTTTTTATTTTGGGGG